TATTTTGATCTAGCAACAGTTAAATCGTAATAGTTACACTTTAATTATATGTATTTTTAAATCATAATATTATGATATATTTTCTATGAATCACCATGTATTTAGATCAGTTCTGGTTTATAAATCGCGCCATGTTCATTGAGGGTTTCTCAATGGGGTTCTCAACTAGTATTGCGTGTATATTACCATATATATCTAACGGACATTGCATATCACCACAAACTTTATAATTTTCTATTTTTCGTAATTGAAAATTATTAGTATTATAACATTAAATCGTACTCTCAAATATATTGTTTATATTTCCTTACAACACTGATGGAACTTTGAAAATGTTTAAAATTATGATTCTTTGTATTGAAAATGTTAATAATTTATTCTTGCAAATAAACTGAATAATGCTGGATTTAAATATATTTATTTTTGGTGGTTTAGAATTTACAGAAAGAGATGTCAGGTGCCGAGGCGAGAAGAATTAACCGAGAAATGTTAAAGTTAGAAGAAGATAATGCTCCTAGAATTGGAGCAAGCTTGAGCCAATCCAAGGCAAGGAAACTTTCGATGGTTGATCTTGCTTGTCCACTCCATTATGATCTCCAAGTCGAGGTTTTTGCTCGTGTCTCATGTATAGACTACTGGAAGTTGCAGTTTCTCAACAAACGATTTTCGCAGTTGCTAAAGAGTGGTGCTATTTTTAGGGTGAGGCAAGAACGCAGACTTGTGAAACCATATGTTGTTATGGTTACAAGCTATGATATCACTCGATGGATAATGTTTGATAAAGATTTCCAAAGTTTCCAGAAACTTCCAAAAATTCCTTCGGACTATTGGTTCCTTTACGGAGATAAAGAAACAATTTGTGCAGGCACACAATGATTGTTGTCGGAAGAGAGTTGGAGGGCATTGTGGTGTGGCGATACGAACTAGAGATGAATAAGTGGTTCAAAGGTCCTGCAATGATTGCACCACGTGTCATGTATGGTTCTGCTAGCCATGGGAACGATGCTTTTTTCGCTGGAGGAATTAAATTTGACGAAAATGGGATCCCTGAGGTTGTGAGCAAAGCGGAGAAATTTAGCGCTGATACCAAAACATGGACAGAGTTGTGAATCAAAGGCGATAAAGCAAAGAAGAATAGAGATTGAGACGAAAATAGGGTTTCTTATTACTCGTGTGTCACAAAGAATAAAACCTAAACTCCATATATATACATCTCAAAAAACCCGGTTTACTGACGTATACCGTACCACGGGGAGGCGTAGCCCCCCGTACCCCCCCAAAAACTGCCTAGCGAGTTACCAGTACATTCAAGACTTCGGCCCAGCGAGGGCTGGCCTTTTACCACTATATATCTGATTATAAGTCACTTAGATAACAGACAGTAATCCATGACATGCATAAGCGGAGGAAGTTCTGCTCCGGATGTTTCTTACATGGCAAGTTTTACGTCATCGGTGGTCGAGATGAAAACAATGAAAATTTAACTTGTGGAGAAAGTTACGATGAAGTGACAGATTCTTGGAAGCTGATACCGGAAATGGTTGGAGACATGACACTCAACGACCTCAATTCGCCACCTCTCATTGCGGTGGTCAACAACAACCTTTATTTGTTGGAACCAAATTCGAGGGAGCTTCGTGTTTATGACATAAACAAAAATGTTTGGAAAAAGCTTGGGATCGTACCTGTGAGAGCTGATTCTGTTGGAGGTTGGGGTGTTGCGTTTAAGTCTGTTGGAGATAGACTTTTGTTGATTGGAGCTAGGTCTTCTGATAGTACGAATATGACGGTTTACACATGTCTTCCATCTACAAAAGTTGAAGAACTGATTTGGGAAAGGCAAATGATTCTTACAGCGATAAAGGCATTCGCTTCAACAGTTTTATCCATAATTGCTGTGTAATGGTTGTTTAGAGAGTGTCTTCTCAAACAAACTTGACATTAATGTGTACTGATCTATG